AAAGGAAAGGAAAACCTGGCACTTTTTCAAGTGCATTCTCTGCTGAAACTCAAAAGTCAGATGATTAGACAGAGCACTTTGGAACCCATAGGGCTCAGGGGATGTGGGGATCTATTTCAAGTTTTTCTGACTTGGAAGAAGGTCTGAGAGTAGCACTCATTCCCATTCCAGACGCCTTTCTCTGTTAGTGGAAGTTGGCTACTTCCTTCTGGCCCGCTCTGTTCAGCAGGTTTCTCCAGTTCCTCCATGTGTCCTTCCCCATGTGGGGAGATGCTGTAGTCCCCTGTCTGGAGAGAGACAGAGCAAGACATAGACACTTCCAGCCTGAGGGATAGGGAGGAAGGAGCCCAAAAGAGTGGGAGGAGTCCCTGCATGGGGGCTTTTAAGATGGGTTTTGAAGGTTGAATAGGAGTTTGCCACAGACATCAGGTTGGGAGAAGGATTGTGTCCCAGGACCAGTGGAGATGCAAATGCCTCCCCAACTCTCACATCCCTGGAGCCTGTTCTCAAATATCCAAAATAGCTCATACCTAGGACTTGGTATGTTGTGAGAGTTGGTGCAAGGGAGAATTTTTTGTTTCATTAAATATCATTTTCAATGCCTGGGGTGTGGGACAAAAGTGTCTAGAACAATGAATCCAGACGGCAGGCTGGTTCACTCAGGTATGTCCCCACCCAAAGCTCCTGGGAGATGTGGCTAAATGTAGCTACTTTGGTGTATCAGTCAGCACTGCTGAGTAACAAACTACTCCAGTCTTTGTATTTGTTCTCGATTCTGCAAAGCTTGGTCTGGGCTCAGCTCGATGGTTCTTCTGTTGGTTCTCTTGGGGTCACTCAAGCAGCTGCAGTCAGCTGAGACTTGACTGGGCTTAGCTGGGTCAGGGTGGCCTCACTCCCATGTGCTGACTGTCAGAGAGGCCTCTGTCTCCATGAGGCCCCTCCTCCTCCTGGGCTTATCCACCTGGCAGTCTCAGGGTTCCAAGAGTGGAAGCTACAAGGTCTCTTGAGGCCTAGGCTCAGAACTCCCACAACTTAACTTCCACCACATTCTATGGGTCACAGCCAGTCACTTGGCCAAGTTCAGGTGCCAGGAGTGGGAAAATAGACTCTAGTTTTTGATGGTAGGAACTGCAAAGTCACATCATATAAAGGGACCGGAGGAACTGGGCCTATCACATTTGGGGAAGCAAGGAGGCTTCCTGGAGGAAGGAATATTGTTGGATTTTGAGGGCTAAGAGTTCGTCACACAGTTTCTGCTGTAGGCGGGACCAAGTGTCATTTGCTTTGACTGGGGTGTTAGTGGGGTGGTGGGGTGCTGAGGGCTGGTGGTGGGAGGTGGGCAGGGCTGTCCCACAGAGCTCAGGCAAAACCCCCGCCCACCACACCCCCACTCCTGAGCTTGACTTTCCCCTTCCCCCTCTCTCTGCAGATGGCGCGGCCAATCCAGGTGAAGCCTGCGGACAGCGAAAGCCGTGGAGGTAGTTGTCATCTCTCCGTGGCTGCCTGGCTGGGGGTTGGCGGAGGAATGGGAGAAGAAGGAAAATCTCTTCCTTCCTCTCTCCCTCAAAGGGGCAGTGGCCGAGGCCTGTGGATCTGGGACTGGTCTTCCTGCCCCAAAGCATGCAGCAGTCGCATGCCTGCTCACACACCCCCTTAGTGGGGGGAGAGGCAGGTTCCAGAAAGCAGAAGGGGCTATGTCCATAGTTCCCAAGGGAGGATGCAGGGTCTAGACAGGTCCAGCTGCCTTCCCCTGAGTTACAAATACCCCACTCCCTCCAGGGTACAATAATTGGGGGGCTTCAGACACACACGATGGGGGCCTGAAGGGCTGTGGATTGCTCTCTGGGGTCTCTGTGTGCAAATGTGTTTGTGTGTTTGTGTGTGCATGCTTAAATGTGTGTGTATGAGTATGCACACCTGGCATGCCTGTGTGCAGATGTGTGTGAGTACGTGCACTTGTGCATTTGTGTTTCTGCAGCTGGTGCACATAAGCACACCTGTGTGGTGTGTGGTGGGGATGCCTTCCTGCTTGTGTGTATGTGCGTGTGCCCAGCCGGTGCATGGGTGTGTTTGCACATATGTGCGTGACTGTTCTAGGCTGGGCATGTGGGCAGACATGCAGGCTGGGGTCAGTGGTGTCTGTGTGGGGCTGGACTTTGGTGTCAGGGCGTGCCCATGGCAGGGGCATACTCGGTTGTTCCCATGGGACCCAAAGCTAGTCATTCTTGGAACTTTGTATATTTCCTCTCCATCTCAAGCAGAGACTGAAAGAGGGCAGCCAGACTTAGTTGAGTGGAGGTGTGGGGCAAGAGTGTTAGGACGCCTAGGTATATGTAGGAGCCCAGTAAAGGCCCTCTGGGATGGGAGCCCCTTTCACACTCTCCACCCTGGCTGCCAGCGTGGGACAGGGAGTAGCGAGGTGGGGTCTGTATGTCTCCATCTTTGTCTCTATTTCTCTGTCTCTCTCTCTATCTCCCTCTGTATCTCTTTCTCCTTTGTATCTTCTCTGTCTCTTCATCCCTCTTATTCTCTCTCCGTCTCACACAGTCTCTCTCGCGTGTGCTCTCTCTGATCTGTCCCTCTCTCTCCCTGATTCTCAGTCTCTCTGCTGCTTTCTCTCTCTCCCTCCCAACCCCATGAGTGACAGCTGCCGAGAGCAGTTTCCATAGTAACCCAGCTCACCGTCCCTGGGAGATGAAGCCACCGCGTTCCCCATTACCAGGGAGCATGCAATTACCCAAGGGGGCAGAGCTCATACAGAAGAGGCTGGCCCAGCCCAGCCCCACCCGTCAGGGGGTCCAGCCTGCCAAGGCCCCTGGTCCTATGAGCACGTGAACCCTCCCTCTATTCCACAGATGGTGACTGCCTGGCCCCTCTTGATCCCGACAAAGTTGGGCAGGGGCCTCTGCTGGGCACCATGAAAGTGCGGGGATCATCAGTGCCCACCTCCGCCTGGCAGGTCCGGGGGGCAGACAGAAAGACAGACGGGACCCAGGCCCGGCGAGGCAGCTCCTAGTCCTAGTACTCGGTGCGGGCTCTCTGAGTGCACCAGAGGGAAAGGTCATCTCCGCTTGGAGGGGGAGCAGTGGAGCAGAGACCCCAGAAGACTGCAGGGAGGGCATTTCAGGCGGGGGCGCCGCCTGGGCAAACGCCCGGAGATGGGACCGTGCAGGGCCCGTGGGAGGGTGGAGAGATCCGGGGCAGGGAAAGGGCGCGGCTGGGTCCTCCCTCGCACGCGCAGAACCGGAGCCGGCAGGGCCCGGGCGCCGCGTCTTCCTGCCCTGCCGCCTCCACTCTGCTG